GTCCCGGATTGTGAGAGGGCTATCTGACTGGCAGTTGGACATACTCTGAGGGGTCCCAGATTGGAGAGGATGCAGGCTGGGCTGAGGGGAACTGTCCCCCTCCCCCTGTGCACAGATTTCATACATCAGGCCTCTAGTTCTTCCATAAACCTTATAAAAGTTATTTTCACATTTAAGGCTTTAATTCACCTGAAATTGATTTTTGTTTATGGGTAGAAGTAGGAATGCAGCTTATTTTCTTTTGAGATGAGTATATATTATGAAATGGGTTATAGCAGTATTATTAATTAGTTCATATTTTGATATATGAACTATTGTATTATTGATCTAAGAAACTGATCTGCAGTTTTCACTTCTATCAAGATTCCATATATCATGAGTCTAATTCTGAGCTTTCTTTTTCATTTCTGAACTAACATTACCATGCTGTCTTATTAACCATTATTTTTCATTCAGCCAGAATCTAGTCAGGAAAACAAACCTCTTTAAGTATTTCAAGCAAGAGCAGATTTAGTCTGGAGAATTAGGTGTTTACAAAAGTAGTAGCAGGCCTAGAGGGATAAAGGTTCAGGAAGTGACTGCTACTTCTCATATTTGCCACTAACTTTCAGGAAGTCAGGAAGGTGCAGAAACACAGAAAATCTCTGGAAATAATCAGTTGTCACCAATACTTAGGCTGGTGATTTACAGAAAACACCCGAAGGATGCTACAAGTCTCACATCTATCTGCTGAAGTCCATCAGGTATTTGCCAATCCTTGACAAAGGTGCAAAAGTGTACTTCTGCCTTCATTATATGAGTGTCTTTCATTGAAATCTAACCAGAAATCTGCTGGCAGAATCGAAGGAAATGTAGCCCCTGACATCCAGCCATGTGAGTAGAGGAGGGCAGGGAAGGGGCACAGGGCATGAATTGCCTCAGGCATCCTGGCACAGATTCTTATTAATTAGTCTCATTATCTGGTAGAACAGTACTCTCCCTCCCTGTACATCCCCTTCTCCCCTGCTCTTATTGTCATGGCTATTCTGAGTCCATTGCATTGCCATGTGAACTTTAAGATGATCTTGTTAAATGTTATGAAAAACTCAGGATTTTAATTGAACTTACACCTAGTTTTCAGACTGATTTTGGGTTCATTGACCCAGGAAGGAAGGCTCCAGCATGCAGCTGGAAGGCCCCAATCAGCCCTGATTGCCTGCCAGGCCTTGGGGCCCTATCCATGCACAAATTTCATGCAGCAGGCCTCTAGTATACAAATAAATTTCTTTATTCATTTGCTGTCATTTGTATCCTCAGTTTACCTGATTCTGTAGCCTTCTTCCCTGCTCCAGTTCTAACTTCTTTTATACCATAGATTCAGACATCCACAACTAAGACCATTAAATCAAAAGGGGAAAAAGTCTCATTTAAGTTATCCCAAGTGGCCAGTAACTGAACATGGAACTGTAGAGTGGCCTGAAACTTGTCTACCCCCGGGACTTCCTTTGTTTCTCTGAAGGGGACTTTGCATCTGTTCTTCTCACCTTTCTCTACTGCTGGCTTCCTCTGCTCACTCAGTTTCTGCACCTCTATAGTGCTGACTGCACATACCCAATGCTCGTCCCACTGGCCTCAGTTTTCATCATTACCTTTTGGCTTTCACTTCAGCTGCAAAGACCTGATCTAGTCAGGATTCCCTGGATTGGGTTCAGGAGAAAAGGAATATGATTGCAGGGACTTTTCCTAAAGTGTTTGTTGCCCTCCTCTGGCCTAGTCGGCTGCAGCCAGGAGAGTAGGTTCTTCCACATGAAACACCACTGTTTCTGAGTGCTGTCTCATCCCTCAGGCCTGGGCTAAGGCAATTCGGGACACACACGCGCGCGCGCACACACACACACACACACACACACACACACACACACACGACATTCTCACTCTTCAAGCTGTGTGAATAGTGTGTAATATAGGAAAGAATTATAGCTAATTAAGGGAAGTGCATCAGCTTACTTTTATGGACTTCTTAACACCTACTTTAACTTTCTGCTTATTTATCTTTTATTGGGAATATCATATATCACAACAAACCCTCAGCTAATATTTATTGAATGAATTTTGAAATAAATAAGAACTGCCTCTTTTTGCATTTTGGGTTCAAAAGAAAACAGCTGCACTTCAGAAAGCTCTGTATCTTCTATAATAATGAAAGTGTAATATGCTAATTAGACCGGACATCCGTCCAGGGCTGCTGCTCGAGGGCCAGGGCAGCTGCTAGGGCTTCTGCCTCGGCCCTTGGAGCCCCTTGCACAAATTTCGTGCATCGAGCCTCTAGTAACTCTATAAAAAAACAAAACAGATTTCGGCCAAATGCTGCTGGGCAGATTAGAAATCAAATTCATTTACCTGCATTTACCTGTCCCAATTATTTAAAAGGGTAAACTCTGAGTTCTTTTGGGATCTAAAGTTATTTAAGAATTTTAAAACTTTTTATTTAATATAAGTATATTGAGAATATTGATATCTTTAAGAATATTATTGTTCCCTAGAGCCCAAATGCACAATTACTATCCGTTTAATAAATATTTTGAGATTGGATGTAAATTCATTTGAGAGACAAACTGTTTTTTTAATGCCTACATGTCCTTTAATGTATTTGGACCCAGATGTTTTGGCCTCATTTGCTGAAGTGGATACAGCATTAGCCTGTCAGTTTCCTGCTGTTTGCCATTATTTAGTGTTATTAGAGGCTGTAAGCATGCATACTCTGGGAAAGTTGAAGAAAGGCTTTAAATTGAGAAAAGTACCAAGTTGTGATCCCTGTCCAGAAATTCTGAGATTAAAAATAAAGTGACTATAAATAAAACATTAGAATATTAACATTAAAAAGCAGCTGTAGTAGCTCAGAGCAGTCCTGCTTATATGTTTTTTGTATTAACTATCAGTTGAGGTCCTCAAGCACATAACCAAATCTTCATTAAGAGCCATTCTCTCCTTCCAGGGAAGCATCTAACACAACATGTATTCCACAATTGGCTATGCAAATTCTTTAGCAATAATAGAGAACATAAATTGTGTTTCCTAAGGTAATAGGGACTGCGCTATAGTGCTCATAAATCCTTGCAAAGCTCTGTGCTAACCTTGCATCCTTCGATTTGCTCTATGGATTATTGAACTACAGTCGGTTTCTACTTTAATAGTAATAGCAGGATGTAGTTCTTCTATTGTTTCTTAAGAAATGGTAGAACTGCTTGGAATTTCCTTTACATTGATATACATATTTCATTGTGCTTGTAATAGTATAATAGATTTGCTTCTTGTCTAGTTACAGTGTAAACCATAGAATTCAGCCACTCCAGTTTCAGGGAAGTAATGTTTTCCATAATTTAACACTTATTGTTTTCCATATATAAATGTGTTTATAGCTGCCCCTAGGGCCAGAGCTCTGCCCAGTATCTAACACTAGGTCCACATTCAATCTGTGTTTTTTCGTTTTAAAAATACAGGGATTGAAGGGCCAATGTTTTTTTAGGATTTTTGTTTAGGTTAATAAATGAAATGGGCTTTTTATTTTATTTTATTTTATTATTATTGATCTTAGAATTAAGAAAAGTATCATGAAATTTGAATATTTTTTCTTTTCTTAAACAATTTTAAAAGATAGAGATTAGCTGGTCTTATTTGGTGAAATACATGTAAAACCATGTGGGCCTGTAATTTTGGAAAGTTGGATAATGGGCAAGGAATTGTGATTACCATTTCAGTTTTATGGGCTTTTGGTTTCTCTACATTTTCTTTCTTCCACCAGAACTTTTAATAATTTTATCCTAAAAGTTTATATAATGGGATTTATCTCTGTATATTGCTAATGATGCTTTTCATTTATACTTTTTAATGTTGTTCTTACCTCCACTCCCACCCTGCATCTGTCTCAGTTATCCCATACTTAACCAACCCAGCCCGTCTTAGTTGGCAGAGCCCAGGCTGGGCTGCCATAAAGGAGGAGCCCCACAATTCAGAGGGAGGCTGGGAACATGAGGGAACACCTGTGTGTTCCATCTCTATGCCACTAAAATCCCCCCACCTCGACTTCTTTACCATGATACAAGCAAAACACTTTTATTTCTGAGTCCATATCTGACCCTTAAGAGCATGTAGCATATTGCTATTGCTTGTCATTCTCCTTTTTAACTAGTTCACTGAAATTTATGATTATTGGTCATTTTTCTTACATCTTATTTTGTATTTGTCTTGCTTTTAAAATAGTTTTTGTTGTTGTTGCTACCTCCTTTTTTCTATTTCTTTAGATCAATCAAGTTTTAAAAGCTTCACTCATTTTTCATCCCCTAAATAATTCGGAAGTATAGCCATCTATTTCTATTTTTGTGGGTGGTATTTTGTACATTGTAAATTATGTACATTTAATTTACTCTAAAAAGTATCCTACTCGTCCCAAATAACCTGTAATATTTTAACTTCCTTGTTTTACATGTTATCATCTAGTATTTTAATTTTTTATTGTTACCCAAATAAGACAGTACTCTGTTTATACAGTCAATATTTGTTTTGATTTATTCACATTTACCTAGTTCTTTGTTCACTAGTCCTTCATGCTTCTCAGACTTTCACATGTAAGGATGTTTTCATTCTTTCTGAAATACTTTCCTTGGAAGTTTCTTTAGATATAGGGATCTGGTTGTAATGAACTCTGATTTGTTTTGTCTAAACACTTAATATAACTAGAATTTTCTGGTCCTCCAACTATGATCACAGAAGATCAGAAGCATTTAGCATCTAAAGAGCCACCCACTAACAGATACCTAGTGTCTTGGGGCTAGAGAAGCCTGCATGCAGATTGGCCTGCTGTCCACTCTCTTCCTGGCCAATGTGAGGGTCCAGCGTATTTACAAAGATAAACCTCTAGACAGAGATACATGCTTATTGACACATGACCACTCTGTGCACTGCAAAGACACTTAGAAAGTATGGAATGTATATAAAAAGTGATTCAGATACAGCGCTTGAAACCGAGGGAACTCATGCTTTAATAGACACTGAAATCACAAAAGAAGGCCAAGTGCCTTAGCAATCTCAATAAAAATATGAAGTTCTTTTTACATGATAAATTTCATAATATAAAAAGTTTAATGCCATCTGGAAACTGTAATTTACAAAAATGTCCACATAGGCCAAAGATGGCTAACTCTGCATACAACGGGTGTGAGTGCCAAGTGGGGAAGGGATCTGTGGAAGGGAGAGATGACCACATGTGTCCTTACATGGAATATCTTTGAAGGATCTGGTACAAACGAGGACCCAGTTCACAAACCACATATACAATCATTTTAGATAAAACAACAAAATATGTGATGAAATATTATACAATTTTCACTTTCTGCCTACTTACTAAAAAACCAGATTATCGGGTGGTATTTTTTCCAGCCTGAAGTGAAACTAACGAAGTGACAGTTCCCCTTGTGGTGGGAGGTGGCGGGACAGGAGGCACCATACTGAGACTTGCTCACCTACTGAGAGTCACTGGGACAAGGTCAGGAGAGGGACAGTGTGTGCAGCACCTGGTCTGCTGAGACCCAGCGAGTATCAGTGTGAACCATAATTTTTTTCAAATGGATGGAGGTGAGAATTTTTTGATTTTACTACACACTAATGTAAATTCTAGTAGCTAATTGTGTCTTGGTATTTTGACTTAGTTAAAAGGCAAAGTAGTTAAGTAGTTCACTGGTGAGAATTAAGGTAGACTATACTACCTTGCTTTGTGGTCATACCAAGGTTTCTAGGAAAGGGAGATTTTATTGCTTGTGTTCAGTGTATTTGCATCTGATGAATATATAGTAGGGGCAGGGAATTCCAGTTTCCTGAGCTGAAATCTAATTGTATCCAATGGGATTTGCATATGGAGAAGAAAAATTTTTGTAAATTTTACTCATATCCATGGACTCCTTCCAAAGTGAAGCAAAAAGCCAAAGACTGCATGGAGCAGTCATTCGCTTCTCACCATGTGACTCAGAGTTCTCATGAAAGCCAATCGATTTTGTCTGTAATCTGACAATTCCCCTTGATTGTAGAATCAACACATTATTCTAATTGTGTTTTCTGTTATCTATACCAGGCGTCGGCAAACTTTCTTAAAAGGCCAGGTATTTAGATATTTTAGGCTTTGTGGGCCAAGAGGAAAAAATCAAGAATATTATGTGGGTATTTAGATAACTATTTAAAAATGTAAAATCCATTCCTAGCTCATGGCTATAAAACAAAACAAAACAAAAAAAAAAAAAAAAAACAGTAGGCCTCTGACCAGATTTAGCCTGTGGGTTATAGTTTGCCAACTTTTGAGCTGTACAAAGAAATCTGTGAATTACCCAATCCCACAATTTTTAAGTGCACACTTTTTTTTTCCTCAGTGTAGCCTGAAAAATTCACTCTGATTTTACATCCATTTTATTCCTGTAGAAAAACACCAAGAGTGACAGTAAACATAAAGAAGCAATGATTCTAGCATGATTTTTTGTTTGGTCCTATTATTTCATCATCTCAGCTTTCCCTCATTGTAGTTTATATCCAGAACAACAACAAAAACCACATATACCATTTGGCTTTTCAACATGAAACCTGTAACAATGTACATAGGACTGAAACCAAGTTAGGGTCCAGGAATTCTCCTCGCTGGCTCGCTAACCACAGGCAGCAGTGTGGTGTGGTGGAGGGCATGAGCTAGAGGTGGGCAAATGGGGCAGCAGCCTTGTCCTCATGGACAGCTCAGACCCCAGGCCTTTTGTCCAGGGCTCCTTGGCACTTGGGAAAGAGGCTGAGATTTGCTAAGAAAGGAACAGCCCAACTATCTACATATAGATTCAGAAATTTACTTTGAGGTTTAGTTTTCATAATTGAGAACCTGATTTTATTATCTAATGCACAGTGCTATACACTTGGCTTTCATTTGCTACACTAGTACTTTTATTACCACTTGCTATTTTTCCTACTGACATAAAGATAACCTTATAATTGCTCGCTTCTTTATAAAGTTATTTCTCTTCCAATATTAGATCAGGGTTAGACTGGGACAGCCTTATTGTTTGCTTTGTGGGCATGGCTGTTAGGTTAAATGCAAAAACCTCTATGACATAGCAGAGAATAATTAACACAAATTGAATAAATATTATCCATTCCTCTTTTCAGAGTACACTGAGGGAACAGGGCAAGTTGTCAGTGTATGTTTATAAAGTGAGATCCTACCCAAGGTTAAAAACTCTCCCTGTGGGACTTGATGTTCCTGTCCTCTGCCAGGGCCCTCATGTCCACTCCCTCCCTGTGCTGCTGGTGCCCCGGGGAAGCTCACCTTTGTGTGATACACATATATCCTCAGAGTGCGGATGGCAGGCTTTTCATTTTAGAATTACCTAAGAGAGGCTTTAAATTCTCCAATTCAACTTAGTCCCGAGAGGACTTCCAACATTTCATTTCTTTATTCAGATATGTTAAAATGTCACCCCTCTCTAGACTTATTTTGTCTCTTCCCAGCTGGCGACACCTTCAGAGATGTGTGTTTCCCTATTCAGCAGTGTTTGGATGTAAACCCCACCGAAGGCCCTGCTTCTCAGGCTGTGGACCTTCTGTAGGAGCAGAGGGGGCTTGTCCTTCAGCCATAGGAGCAGGGGCTCCGGTCACAGCTAAGATGAGAGTCCCTGTGGGCTCACAGACATGGGATGCTGGGATTGTGGGAACCTGGCAACAGAGTTAGAAGTGGTTTTAGAGGCCTGGAGATGGGAAAAGATAATAAAATTAAGCAGCTAATAAAGTGAATAGGAGCTGGAAGGCTAGATTCTGGTTAAATCTAGTTAGCCAGAGGATTTTTTTTTTCTTTTTCTTTTTCTTTTTTGCTTATAAGGAAACTGAATAACTTCAGTCTTTCCACCCCAAAGCTTGATAATTACTTATTGATGACTATTCAAAATTTGACATTTTAAAAAACTTTCTAAGAGCTTTTAAAAATAATAGCTATAAGTGCAAAGTACTATTGATAATAAAACCAAGTTGTTTATCCACATACAAAAAAGTCAGTAATGTTTTAAAAGCACAAAGTTGCATTTTTAAATTGCAATTGCATAGTTCTGAAATGCCTGGATAAGAGTTATATAAATTTTTTTTAAAAATTCAAGTTTGGTTGACATTGGGCCCCAAGGGTATTTGTAGAGCTCAACAAAACCAAGTTCAGGATGGAAACGCTGTTTTGATGTGAATTATTGCATTGTTACTGTGATGTTACAATATCATGAGACCAAAACTGCTACAATTTAAAATCATTGGCATTTTTTAAACCATTATTCTGTTTTTGGCTAATATAACATTTTCATGTAGAATTCAAGTTAAGAGAGATTTTATATATCCCACCCCCAGCCAGCACCTGAAAGCCTTAAAAAACCTCTATTTGTATTTGTATTTCTGTGTATAAAAGGTACTGCATATATACCTCTTAGCAAAATATGTGCTCCCTTTCCTTTCCCCACCCCAGAACCCTGGCCATTTTTAATACAAAAAACCTGTTGAAGAATCACATCAAAGATGAGAAGCAGAGAGTTCAAGGTAAACATTTGGTGAAGTGTGGAGAAAATTCCATGAGCCTCCTGTACCAATCCCACAGGAGCCCTGGCTTTTGGTGAACCTGGCCCAGGGAAGCACCATGTGTGTGTGTGTGGTGATGTCCGGGCGTGGCGGTGCCCTTGCCTGGAGCGCACCCTTTGTGAGAGAGGTGACCGACTGCACTCAGACAAGGAGTAGGCAAGCGAACGACAGGTCCTCTGCAGGCTGCTGCCCTGAGTCCCGGGCACAAAGATGCCTTAGCATTTAGAGGAAGGAAAAAACCTTCCTGGGGACAGAAACTTGTAGCCATTGCCGGAAGGAAGTCTCAAAGGGCGTGTGGGGGCTGCAGCAGGAGGGCCGGCGGGTGGTGGCAGCGTGCTCAACGTGGTGGCCTCGCCGCGCCAGTGTCCGTTGGGAGGGGCTTTCTGTGGTTCTCTGTGTTGTTGCAAAGACAGCTCCTTGAGTTCAAGCTTGTCTACGCCTTCCTCCTTCTTGTTGTGCCGGGGTGACAGATTTAACAGACTGAGGACATCTCTTTTGGAAGTCATCGTTCCAGGGGCCCCCCGGAATATTTTCATGGGTCCTGTGGAATGCTGGGGTGTGCTCTGCCAGAACATCTTCAGGTTGTGCACAGCCTGCACCTTTTCATCAATGGCTGCCATTTTCAGTTTGTCAATGTCGGGGGCATCAGCTGGACTCGAGCGAGCGGAACCAGCTGAGGAATAGGAGAGAGCTGGGGACGGTGCACTACCAGCAGGAGAGTGGTGGCCTGAGCTGGGGGACATGTTCCTTGGCGATTTGGAAATGTGGGCACTGTAAGGAGAGCTGGGATACTTCAGTTTAAAGAGAGGCTGGTCGGTCAGGGAAGTCTGGGAATCAGAGCCGGGAGACGGGCGGCCACTGTGCTGGCTCGGGCTGTCTTTGATGGACGCCTCCAAGGTGGTGGGGCTGCTGTATCCTGAGCTCACCTTGGGCAGGGATGAGCTTCTGGCCGGGGGCTTTGGTTTAACAGTAATTGGTGATGGCTGACTCTTCTGATGGGAGAGGGTAGGCCTGCTGAACGCACTTGTTTCTGATGCTCTGAAGACGGCAGCGTTATTTGGCATGGAAATGCCATCTTCTGGGTTATTCTTGCCGCTCTGACTGCCACCCCTCTGAAGACGTTCCACTGCAATAAGATGACTTTGTGTCTCCTCTAGAATTTTCTGGGCCAACTCTTGTGGATCCAGCTTTGGGTTGCTTTCTTCTTGGGATTTCACAGTGCTATCTGTTTCTGTGCTAGACTGGTCTGATTCTCCTGTATCTGAACTTGCTAGTTTTCCAACCTTTTGGAAGGGTGAGTTTGGGCTGGGAATCAGAGTCATTTTAACTGGAGAATTTGGAGTGCTTATGCTCCCCTTGGAGCTTATAGAAACTTTCACACCTCCAGTTGTCCCTACTCGGGACTGTTTGTAATCTGGTGAGAAGCGTGTCTTTCTGTTTTCTTGGTAGGCTGCCAAAGGCTCAGTGCTAATGATGGAAAACCCTTCATATTCTTCTTCATCTTTGCTGCCTGGAGGGCGGGTCTGGTGGGATAGCTGGCTCCGAGGCAGGGTGGATCGCTGTGGGTAAGCATTCTTGGACCTGTCATAGTCCTGCCGTCCTCGGGGACCTCCACCTTCTGACCCACCCTCAGGCTTAGAGACAAAGCTCATTGAGGAGGCGATAGAGCTCAGACTGTACACAGAGATGGCGTCCGAAGCGATGCTCTCTGCCCCGGTGGGAGAGAAAGGAGGGTGCTGGTAGCCCAAGGGCAGGGCATTGGAGACAGACTGGGCAGAGGCCAGGGACTCCAGGGAAGACGAGCTGTCAAGGCTGAGGCGCTTGGGCAACTCAGTGGAATCTAAGACAAAACGTATGTACCCAGAGGGCAGTTAGAATTCTATATGGCTTTTTGATTCTATATTGATTGTTTTTCTTTCAGAACCACAAGCATCTTTATATGCATAGAAGCTAGTAAAGAATTATACAAATGCTACTTATATACAACTTGAATTCATCTTGTAATTCTGAAAAACACAGTCCTGTTGGGAAAAGAACATCTTACATAGGGACAGAAACACCCTAGGAGACCCCGCCGCAACCACCATGCACTTTCCACTCTGCTCCCTATCTCTTGGGACCCCCACATCTGCTTCCTGTCTGACCCACACAGCTGGTGGGCAATCTATGATGTCCCCTGTCCTAGAACCAATCTCCCTACCGCTGCACATTTCAGCAGCCTCCTCTTCTCCCACTTTCTCTTAACCAAGTCCACTCAGTTTTTTGTCCTCCCAGTTATCGTAAAGGTCACCAATAACGTCCATGCTACTACATCCATGTTCTCTCCTCAGGTCTGCAGTCAATGGCACCCTGCCTTCTCTGATGATTCCTTCCCAGGCCTCTCCTCATCTTTGTGACCTTTGATCTCTGGCATGTCACAGTCCACTTCCCTTCAGACCTGTATGCACACATGCATCTCCACCATAGCCTCTCCCTGAACTCTAAAGCTGCCTATGTATGTGTCTAATGGAGACTTCAATGAGTATGTCCACTCTAGCCTGGTGGCTCAGTTGGTTGGAGCATCATCCTGTACACCAAAAGGTTTGCAGGTTCAATCCCAGGTTGGTGCACATACGGGAAGCAACCAATTGATGTTTCCCTCCCTCTCTCCCTCCCTCTCTCTCTCTCTCCCCCCAATCAATAAAAAACATACCCTTAGGTGAGGATTAAAAACAAAATAGAGTACGTCCAAGATGAAACTCAAACTCATTTTTCCTGCTACTTTCAAGGTTTCAGCAAAATAGTCTCTTCTGGTAGTTGCTCCAAAAACACAGGGTATCACCTTTGATGACTCTCTCTGTCTGACAAATTCTTCAGTAGATCCTGTTGGTTCTGCCTTCAAACCATGGCTACCTTCCGAGCCAGCATTTCGTCTTCACTTTGTAGGCAGGTGTCCCGCCACTCCTCCCTATTCTGTCTGCTCTACGGCCTTTGTTTCACTTTGTAGTCCAGTATACTCTGCTAGTTTTCTTCATAGCACTTGTCAGCAAATCATCTAATATACTACATGTATTTTAATTGCATGTTCCATAAGAGCAGGGAGTTTCTTTTCTGCTCTTGAACAGACCCTAACACATGCAAAAATGTTTCTTCACATTTCTCTCCCCTTCCTAAAATGTCACTAGATGTGCTTGTGTCTGACCCCAGGGGCGCTGGGCGGAGCTCTTACCAAAAAGGGCGAGCAGGGACTGGAGTGCAAAGTGCATGGTTCTTCGACTGGCTTGTTTCCCAGTTTTCAGGATTACTTCCTCTTGACCAACTTCACAGAGATCAAAACCTAGAGTAACAAAGAGTATAAACATCTGCTTCCTTAGGGAAGATTCCATATCCTGAAAAGGATGAGAGCTGTACAGCTCCTCATACAATGTCATGGGAACCCCCGCAGACCCCTCCGCAGGCACCCTGCCTGGGACTTCCAAGTCCCTTCGGAGAGCACTGGCTGCTTTCCTGCCTGCACTGCCTTCTTGAGAGCTGAGGGTTGGAACTAGTAAAGCTCATTAACCTTTGTTTTCTCCATTCTTTTGTAGAACAGTCCACTTAAAGGAGTCAGTCTGGGACGAAAACTGGCCACTCCCTGGCATTGGGTCTGGAATGCAGAACTGGTGCATGGGAAGGTGGGAGCTTCTCAGTGGCAAGGACGTTATCTTCATACGTGGTCAGCGTCTGCTGCTGCGGGCTTTGGAGTGAGCTGTGATGGTGAAGAATCTGAACCTGTCTCTCGGCTGAACCACCCTGCAGGGACTCCACTCTGCCAAAGCCCGAGGGACTGCTCCCCGAATCTAAGGGTCTGAGACTTGGAGCACAACAAAGAGCATGAGCCTCCTGAGCAAGAGGTTGACTGAGCCATTGCCACAGCACTCCAGCTTCTTAAGAGATGCTGCAGAGGCACCCAGTGCATCGCCCCAGGAAGAACTCAGGAGGAAGAAGCCAAACATGCTGTGATGACGGGCTGTGTCCACAGAAAGGCATCGCTAAGCAAGAATTTAGGGTCTGCAGAGCCTTCAGCACGGAGAATCTTCACTCAGCCTCCTCTGCAGGTCACTGAGCTCCGGTAAGCCCAGGATGCAGGCACCTGTGAAATCAGGCCCTTTCCCTCCTTTGATCTCACTGTTCCAGTGATAGAAATCTGTAATTACAGTGCTGCCATGTCAGCATGCTGTGCCTTTCATGATGGGAGTACTTACTAAAGGAGAAGTCTGTGTCATTCTTACTCAAGGATTCTGATATTGGTGTAACACTGTCTTTACTTTGGGAATTAGGTTTATTAAAAGAGCCAATTAGCATTCTGGTTGCTATGGGACATTTTCCTCCTTAAATCATAAACAATCCCTGAAAGCAACAGGAAGGTCTCAGCATTTAAAGACAAATTAATGTAAGTGTAATATTTTAGTTAGAAACCTCTACTTTTACCAAAATGATTCTAATAGAACTCAGTCCTAACTAACTAACTGCCCTGTGATGGGTTTTGATGGCATGTGTTTCATGTTGAAGTCTGGAAAGAAGGTGTCTTTCAGAGCCTTGGAGTCCTAAGAGTGAGGGAGCCACGTTTCTAGATGCCCGGCCTGCAGGGACTCCTTGCTGCCACACAGCCCTCCCCAACCTCAGTCCACAGGATCTGGAAATTATAAGTATGTGCTTCGAGTATTAATGGGATTTGGAAAGTACGGAGAAGTAGAGAAACATCAAGGAAAATCACCCACAATCCCAGCACCAGAGAGCCAGTGACACACCTGACAAAGGACATCGAAACACCCAGTTCACAGGTAAGGTCTGGCTCCACCACACCTACTCCCAAGGAAGGCTTAGGGCCTGTGCACGGAGGAACTTTTCCTTTATAAAGAAAGGTCTTGGCTTCATCTCCTTCCTCACCTGCGTTACTGCCCCAAGACTAGCTTACAGCCTGTCATGAAGTGAAAGATGTGTCCTGAGTATAGACCTGGCCTTTCTCACTCTTGCTACTGACCACTTCTACTTAGATAAAAATTTACTATGTTTACACCAAGAAGACTGCTGTAAGGAAATACAAATCATAAAGGACCTCAAAGTGCCTATTCACGGGGGACGTGTGCTGTGGGGGCTCTGTGGATTTCCCTTGGTACCTTCAAGGACAAATGGAGCCAGCCTGAAGTTGAGGTTGGTTGGGAAAGGTCATCTACAAAACGGGTTAGAAAAAATGACCCAATCTGAATATCTGGGCCTCACAACCAGAAGAAAACTCTTCTTTACGGTCTTGTTGTCCTGCCGTGTCTGTTCCCTATAACAGTGTATTCAGGCTATGTCATCCTCTAAAGACTTCCCATTCTCAGGTTAAAACCAAAGCCATCCCATGTCATCTCAGCCCCCCGTTTCTGCCCTCCCCCATGTCAATCACTAGGACCTTGATGCTTTTTTCTATCACAGTATGCCTCACCTTCCAGAGTAAGGTGCCTCCCTCAGATGAGGTAGTTACTGTCTAAGAGAGCAGGGCCTTTTGCCTTTGCTCACTGCTGCATCCCCAGTGGCTTTGGGGAATGCAAAGCCCCATCTGTGAAGCGAGTGCAGGGCACCGGGTCCTGAGGACCATGATACTGGCTGGCACATGACAGGTATTTGAAAAAAAGGGTATGGTATCAATGGCTCCCAAACAAGTCACACAGACACTTAAGAGGAGCCAGGGGAGTTATGTCAGGAGCTGCCTCAGTCGAGTTACAGTGATGAAAAAGGAAAAGTGAGCATCCTGGATTGAACAAGGGTCCTGTACATGCAGTTCTAGGTCCCCATAGTAAAATCTAAGGCGGTTTCAATAGTACTTTATTTCTGCCAGTTTCCAGGATTAAAATAATTGTTTTATGACTATTTAACTTTTAATCACAGCTTGACTCCCAACAGTACCAGATTCATATTAAAATGATGACCACAAAGTCATAAGGGAAATGGGACAAAGTTGGGGAGCTATTTCAGAATTGTACTAAACCACTAGAACCCGTGAGGTAACTATTTGAGTAGTAAGACATCTAAGGAGATAGAAAACTCCCGAGAGTACCAGCTTTACCCAAAACTTGATTTTTCAAAAATAGAACTAAAGAAACCAATTAATAAGTCTTTCCTACCTAGAGCCGCCAGGAATTCGTGACATCCCGGGAGCCGCCACAGCTGGACACTGATGGAGACTTGAATGGGAGCCAGAGCAAAGTCCTGCTCCTTCTCGCAGGCCTGTAGCTGGACCAGCACCTGATGGAGCTGAGTAAGGGGGAACACGTGAGCTCCTTCCCAAGTCTCCTTCCCCTCCGGCCCACCTAGGATTTGTCCTTAAGTTATTGTTACTGTCATCACTAATGAGCTTATATTTGTATAGCATCTGACATACTCTGTGTAGTGTGTTCGTGCCTGTTGTTCTCTCTGTGGGAAACTCAAGGGGCAGTGGGTTGTTAAAGGTTATGGGCCGGCCCACAGTCAGGGTTTCTGCTTCCAGCCTCACGTCTTCCCTTGAGCTCCCTCGCTGCAGGGCTACTGAGCACAGGAGAGGGCTTGGGGTTTATAGGCCTGGTCATCTCCCTCTCTTTTTGTCTATTTAATTAAAACCATCTTTATGATCTTGAGGTAAACGGTGAAGAGGAATCCAAGGTTACATTCTAGAGCAGGAGTGGGGAACCTTTTTCTGCCATGGGCCATACAAAATTAACTGAAAAATTAGCCTGCTCTATTTGGTCAAGCATTTCATTAACTCATCCCTAATAACTTGGCAGGGTCAGGCCAAATGATTTCTTGGGCCTTATATGGCCCATGGGTCAGACGTTCCCCACCCCTGCTCTGGAGCATCAGCACTTAACCCGCTGAAATGCTGTGATGTTTCAGATTTCCCGAATCTATAAACACTACTCAGGTGCTTCTGCCTCTGCTGTTCTGATGGAACTGAAAGATCAAGAACACAAGAGGGTGGAGCAGGAAAGGGGGAGCCAGAGCAGAGGAAAGGGATGGACTGCCTGAGCAAGCAGCACTAGTCATCCCAACCTGAGCGAGGTTGGCATGTGCATGCGACTCCAAGAGACAGCACAGCACGTGTGCTCAGAGCATGCTAAGGGGATCTCGGGGGTGGGTGGGTGGGTTGAGGGGCTCACCTGACAACAGTTGCTACTTATAGTAGTACTCACCATTCCAACCATATTTTTAACAGCCTTCGGCCAGCAGATTATAAGAAAAAGAAAGAAAAAAGAGAGAGAAAGAAGACAGTTTAGACTCAAGCACAGGTTGTTATGCAACACGAGCTGACCACTGCTTTAGGAAGCGCCATACCAGGCCTGAGGCTCTGACCGGGAGGGGAGAGGAGCAAGAGGCAGCAGGGGCACACAGGAAATGAACAGCCACACCCAGACCAGAAGCACTCGGGGTCAGGGTCACTCAGGTTCTGCCCTTCCTCGCCAGGAGAGGAGCAGGGCAGGTCAGACTCAAGTGGGGAAGGGGCACAGTGGGTATGAATAGGCCACTCTAAACCGAAGTCCATAGTGACTCAGGAAATGTCCACCAGCCACAGTGGGCAGCCCAGGACAATTCCCGGGGCCAGGCAGAAGGATATCAGGAAAGTCCCTGTGCTGCCACCAAAAGCAAGAAATTAAGCAACTAAAATCAACTTTTTTTTGGTAGAGCACATGTTTCTGGCCCACCTGGGTTCATTTTAATATGCAACATTCCAGAAGTGTTATCCTGATTCTATTTAAAAGCAGATGTAACACACTTAATACAAAATGAGTAGGAATTTCATGAAGGAGCCAGGTCACTGAGCTATGTTCAAATCCAAGCTGGAAACAACCCCACATATGTGGAGGCTCCAGGCACCACTCAGATTTTCAAAGGTTAATTCTAACTGGAGGAGCTTGATTTCCATGTAGAAATATTGCTGTTTAAAATGATATCTGCTGATAAATATGTAATAATGCATTTTTTTTCAAATTATTACACTCAGGAGGACTAGAGAAGTGTTCCGTGCTCTTCAGGGTTGCTGCTCCCTCCAGAAGCCCTCGTACCCATGGCTATCACCCTGGGCTTGTGCCAGACCTTCTAGCCAATAGGAAGATTAGGAGCTCTGAAAGTCCGAATCCGCCAGGTACCTGAATTAGATCTATAATACACTGTCTTAACAGAAAGCCCATTTTTAAAAACCTGCTAAGTGGTTTTCAAATAGAGCTGTTTGGGATCACTGCTGTGCCTTAGTGGCTATTTTGTTTCAAGTGGAGTTCATACTTTTATCTGGGAGTAAGTATTGGAACACCTGAAGCCAGGCTGGCCCCACACCTGCTGGCTTAGGGAAGGTGGCTGTTTAACACTTGTCAGTTAGCAGGAAAAATGGGTGGGATGACAAGGTGCAGGAGACCGCTAATGGAGAGTTCAGAAAATTCCCTGAGATTACAGGTGACAGCAGACCCTGGAATGTCCTCTGAAGGGCCTTAAGCTCTTGGGATTCAGCACCCCTCTGTGCCTAGCACATGCTGGGGAGGGCTGTTCTCTTACTCCCAGCTTTTGCCTCTTCCTCCTAATCACAAAGGCTGAAAAAAAACCCACAAGTAAACTACTTTACTTGCAGATTCCTATTCAGGGCCAAGTCACCCTCTTCCTAACTTGGCATGGCGCCCTCAAGCCTGGGCTCATCCGTCCTAGCTCAACTCACCCGGCTGATGAGCTGCTCGCCCGTCTCCGAGGCAGTGATGAGCTTGCAGAGGGCTTGGAGGGCAGGGTTGGGAAGACCTAAACCAAGAAGAGGAAGATAGATGTTATCCAGAGGGACCTCTGAACCCACAGTCCTGCTGTCTTCCCAGAGGAAAACCCCAAATGCTCAGCTTTGGTACCTTCAGAACAGCCAGCCCTGTATGTCCATGTCTGACAACCTCCAAGAAAGGCAGGTTGCGGGCAAGCACCAGTCCTGACCCTGCTGCAGTCCTTCAGGTGTGGGGTCACACTCCCAGCACCCCGTCTCAGCCTCTCAGGAGCATCACCCGTCTGAGTGACGCCCGAAGGGCAGCCCTGAGCTTCTGCACTCCACTTTACCTGGGAAGGCTGCACGGCTCTCATATCCGAAGCTGCTGATTAAATATTAATAGGGGCTGCTGTTCACCCAGCATTACCTCATGTCACCCAGGAAGAGATAGAGCCAGGGCAGTACCCTATGGGCAAAGAATGCCTTGCCATTGCAAATCGAAAAAGTCAAGAGCACTACGTAGTTTCCTCTAAATCAGAAGTCTGTGTCTGGAACTTGGCCATTTCTCAAGACATTCCCCTTCCCAGCTATGAGATCCAGCATCCAGGTGAGTGCAGGGGCCATGGCCACCGACCCCTCTGCGCAAGCAGTCAGCCAGCCCCTCTGGCCCCGCCCTGCCCAGGCTCACCCAGCAGGGACTGGATGGTGCTGCTGCACTGCTGCAGCCGGTCGCCTGGGTCGGAGGTTGGGAAGAAGACAGCTGCTGGCAGGCCACTGGCTGGGGGGTCCAACCGGAAGCCCACAGCGGTGAGGAGGGCCTGCCAGCCGGGGATGCCACCCACTTTGTTCTCCACACTCTGCTGGGATGTGTACATGGCATTGCGCTGCCCGTTCTGAATGCGCTGCAGGGACTTCTCCACCTGGAAGGGGAAGAAGGAAGGGAGAGTGAGGCGCTGCTCTGCTCAGGGCCAGCCCTCGTTTCTCTGAGTGGCTCTGGGGAATGCAAAGCCCCATCTGTGAAGCCAGTGCAGGGCACCGGGTCCTGAGGACCATGACATTGCAGCAATGGCCCAGCTTCTTGAAAGGGAGGCTGCAGAGGGGAGGGATGTTATAATCAGAGCCAGGAAGGGCTGGTGCATCACGAAAGAATTCTGCCCCTCCTCTAACCCACCTCCTGCTGCCCCAGGCTCTCCTTCACAGACACTAAAGTGATTTGTCTGAAAGTTGGTCTGAGGTCAGGACCTGCCCAAACCATACATAGCTACCTACCCATCATTAGAATAAACTTCAGACCTTCAAGACCCCCCTCCCCCATTCACCAAACAGTACCCATCCCAGGGCCCTTTCCAACTCATCCTTTATCCCACAGCACTTGCCTCCGGGACCTGTACCTCCTCCATGATCAAGTGGCCCTCCCCACTCCAGGGCCTAACCAGGTGCCTGGGACATGTGGACTGCACACATCAGGTAACTATGATGTTAACTCTCCCCATAAGCACTCCCTAGCACTCCCCACTGCCTCAGACCTTCCCCTGCAGTTCTCTTTATAGAGAACTTCAGTCCATCCTGAGATGCTGTTGCCCTGGGGTACGTGTGCCAGCACTGGAGGGACAGAATAGTCATTCCAAGGTGTCATCTGACACTTTTCTTACAGTAAAATCCTGTTGCTGTGGGCTGACATCACAGGCAGCAAGAAATTAGTGCTCCTGGGCAAGACGGATACTAGCCAGCTGGCTGCCCACCAGGCTGGAAGGGCCTTGGAAGACCCTGCACACAGGGTCAAGGTACCCAGCGTGATTAGGATGTAAGGGCTGGTGAACATGACCCATGGCCTCTGCAGTCAGACCAGATGAAGCCAATAATGAAAACCTTTCAATGTGCTTGAGGAACCTCAAGGCCAATGGGGAGCCGCTGAGAGGCCTGGCTCCTGCTTCACATCTTGGCCTCGGAGAATCAAACCAAACAGGTGAGAGGGCAGTTCAGTTATTTAAGAAAAGCAGTCTGGGGGCTGCTGCAAGAAAGAGGGTGACAGGCTGATAGGGACCTGAGAAGGGCCCCAGTGCTGAGCAACTGTAGGGCTCTGTGCAGTGTCCAGGCACAGGCACAAAGTGGTGGAGAAAGTCTCCCCAGTCCTCAAACCTGGCCCAGCTACCCTGCAGCAGGCATGTAGGCTACGTTAAGTCTGGCCTGAGAGCTGTCAGAAGTTTTCAGGTTCCACATGCTCACCTAGAACCCCATCCCCAGACTCTCCATTCCCCCTCCCAGGCCCGTATGGACTCTTCCCTGGGTCCATCTCGTACACACCTCTGTCTTCTGAGGTGGCCATGGGGCAGCTGTTGGCATCGAGTTTGGAAGAGCTTGGATGTGGTGTGGGCTCCTGGCTAGGAGTGGGCTGGTCTTTCTGGCACAGAACTCCAAGGAGGTTAAGAATTCTAAATTAGCCGAAACCGGTTTGGCTCAGTGGATAGAGCGTGGGCCTGCAGACTGAAAGGTCCCAGGTTCGATTCCGGTCAAGGGCATGTACATTGGTTCCGGGCACATCCCCGGTGGGGGCTATGCAGGAGGCAGCTGATAGATGTTTCTTTCTCATCGACGTTTCTAGCTATCTCTCTCTCCTCCTCTCTATAAAAAAATCAATAAAATATATTTTTTTAAAAAGAATTCTAAATTATTTGAAACTGCCTTCCAGGTTGTCAAGGTGGAAGGGTGAAATAAGGTTTATATTACTATTTCTTGGCATTATGTATAACTTTTAAACGTGTACAAAATGTCACGGGCTCGCCATTTGTATTCTCACCCAAGTCCTGCAAAGATCATGGCTACCCAAGATCAAAGTCAGGCTTAGATTCTTCTTCCAACTAAATTTAGGGGAAAGCCAGAGTCATCTTACTATAAAATACCACCTCTCAGCTACTGGGACACTGTTGTGTGCCAGCTACTCAACTGTCCTCTAATCCTCGAAATAACCTTGAGAAGTTAAAGTTTGATCCCCACTTCCAGATGAGGAAATTGAGGCTCAGGGTGCCAAGGTGACTTGCCCAAAGCCACATGACCCAGAAATGGTGGTGCAGGCCCCTGCTCCAGGTCACTGCTCACCTGCCCCTCCCCCAGGGTCTTGGCGAGGACTCCATAGCCATCTGTGTGACATCACACATTATGCCCACCTAGCTTGACCCACAGGGGTATGGGGACAGTGTCTCCTTCACATACTCGGATGTCCTGGTACTATGGAAACCAGCCTCCCCTTGTGCATTTCTGGCAGCTTCTCCATGGGAACCTGGATGAGGTCCCCAGTCCCTTACCAAGTGCAGCAGCACTCGCAAGGCGTCCCGTGCCCGCTCCGGGTGCTGCAGGACCTCCGTGAGGGCCTGGCCGACAAGTGAGGAGGGGCTGTTCAGCTTCACGTCACTCCCGATGAGCATGAACCCTGTGGAGAGCACAGAGGGAACCTTAGAGCCTGTTGTCCCCTCAGCTGGGCTAGCTCTACAGCTCACCCATTCTGCAGTCACCCAGCTGCTCTATGGGCTGGACTGTGGAGCATTCCACTCACTGGGGGCAGTCTGTCACCCTTCAGTCTCCTCCCTTTTTAGAATCAATACTGCGCAGTAGGTGTGCAGTGCTGTTTGTAGTTGTAGTTGCTCAGGAAACTGGCTCTACTTCTCCACTGTGCTGTGAGCAAAGTCAGGGAAAGGATGTCCTGGGCCCACTAGGGCCCTTCCCTGGCTTGGCCACCATCTCAAGGAATGATGTCTTTTGTTTCCCTGAAGTACATCTGTGCCTGTACATGCTCAGGGACAGGGGCAGGTGTGCTGAGTCCTGGGGCCATTGGAGGTACTCCTCCAGCTGTAAGAATGAGCAGCTGAGCCAGGCTGGGAAGGTCCACACATCTGCCTAGATCCCGCCCCTCTTCCCTCAGCACCGCTCTCTAAGGAGGGCTGGAAGAGGCACAGACAGAGCAGTCTCCTTAAGCACCAAGCAACTTTAGGCCAACCTGCCCCCAAATAATGGAGGGAAAGGGTTTTCTAAAAGAATGAGCCAAAGCTGTTTTAAGGGTAATGGGACAGCATCTTTAAGCATTTTCCTCAGAACACAGTGTGCCTTTAAATTATCTGTCACTAAAACTAAACAAAAATGCCATGTCCCTAAGTACCCTGGGAAGACAGGGAGGGCCTGCACAGAGGGGACAGGGGCGTGTCAGGGACCAGGTTCCGTGAACCCTGCGGAATGGTCTGTGGGACTGCAGGGCCAAAGGCCCTCCTGATTGATGGAGTGTGTATATAACAGACCTCCGTGTGCGGAGGTCTCCGTGACTGCATGAAAACCACTAGCATTCCTCTGATTTCTGCATCTGGCAGCAGAAGCAGCTCAGCAATGTAGCCAGGCCCCACCCCAGTGCCTGCCTGCCTGGCTGCCCACCCAGGAGGTGAGGGCCACCAAAGACCAGGCCTTTTGGACCAACTGAATGTTTCTCTCCAGCCACGAGAATAGGGTAGATTCTACATAGTTGTTTTTTTTGTTTGTTTGTTTTTTTGATACCTTTAAAAAAAAAAACAAAAAAAAAAACTACAGCCGTGTTGGGCTAGCGATGTAAACAAATGTTTCTTATATCAACACAGCTCATCCGCCTGGCACCACCCAGCACAGCTCTGCGCCCGGGCCCCTGCAGGCTCCTCGATTGCTGGCAGGCTGGGCCTGGGAACACCATGGCTCCACTTCAGGGCTTATCCAACTTCGGAAAACGACACCAACAGCATCAGCACATGTCAACTGGATTGATTCTGAAGGAAAAGTAAGTTGAAAGCCATTTTGTTCCCAACTTTTAAATATATCCTAGTTGGTACATTTTTTGCCTTTGAAACAAAATATAAATGTTTGGAAATAGTATGTTTGATGTTCCTCTGCTTCTCAAGGTTTAAGACACTGCTTTGTGGGTCAGTACTGTCCCGTTGGTGCAGCGTCCTGGAAGGTGTAGGGACCGGTTCTGAGAGAGCACCATGGACTGAAAGTCATAAGTTGTGTCAGCAAAACCACGGCAGCTCGGTAAAAGGCTGGTGGGGAAATGGCCGAAGTTGGGTTTGGATCGCAGCCTATGAGGGAGGGTATGGAGGGTTCACAAGGACCCTGGAGGATGAAGGTCATCATATGGAGCTGTGAGGCAGAGTCCCTCGTACCCACTCCTGTGATCAGCTGTCAAAGGAACATTCTCCTTTCACCCCTTGCGGCAGGCCCACTCAGAGCGTGCAGTGCCTCACGCATCATAAGACATTCAGCCCACTCCTCAAAGATCATCTCAGATGTGGCAGGAAGTTATCAGCATCATCATGTTACCACGGAGCTTCAGAGAGGGTTAGTAACCTGTCTCAGGTCACAAGGCCTGGGTGCAGAGCTAAGTCAAACCACGTTTTCTGAATATCAAATCTAGGGTCTTTCTCCTGCACCACTCTTCTAGTCGGGTTTACACGGTGCCATAAAGGGGGCCATTCAGTAAACACCTCAGGAGTTTCACATGCACACTCCGATGGCAAACTTCTGCTCCCTGGTCATAGACTATTTTAATGCCATGGTAGTAAAAGGCTGATTTGGCATAGGGCAAGTTTCAGCAAAGGAGGCTCCCTCCCAGAATCTCCCCATGCTGCCTTCCCAGTGCCTCGCTCTGCCCTCGCCACCTCTCCCAGGCTATGAGGACTGCTGACGTGGGGAGGTCCCTGTCAGGCGCCAGCTGGTGGCCCCACACTCACCTGCCCAGTTGGAGGGGTGCGAGAAGGCCTTGCTGCTCTGCACCGCCTTCATGGCCTCTCCCAGGGCTGCGCTGGCTTTCAGGCTGTTGAGCAGGGACGAGTAGAAGGCATGGAGAAACATCTTGGAAGCAGCCACCGGCACAGGCCACAGAGACACGAGGACGCACTGTGCACCCGCAGCCAGGAAGGCCCGTGTCAGCGCGATGACCCCATCGGCTGTGACTTTGCTGCTGGACTCCTGAGAGGAGCCGAGGACCACCAGCTTCACTGGAAGCCGCAGGTCCAGGATGTCGGCAGCTGTGAGCAGCAGCTCCTGCAGGGGTGGGCAGTCCGAGATGCTCTCCCCATCACTGGTGTCGTCCTGCACCCGCAGGGACTCGGGGATTGTGTAGGGGTGGCCGAAGGAGCTCTTGCTGCTGGCAGGGTTGCCATCCACACTGGGCGTGAGGACCAAGGCGGAGAGTTTCCAAGAGATGTGGGTGGCAAAGTGGACACACTCAGCCTGGGTCAGGGCACTCATGACCCGCTCTTTGGTGGCCACACTGCCTACCAGGGGCTGGCAGCCCAGAAGCTCTGACACCATATAGGCTTCCTCTTCGGCTGATGGCATCGGCCCCCACAGCCACCTGTCCATCACTGCTGACGGGAGCTTCGGGTTGCCAATGACAGCTGCCATGGAGGTGGAGCTGGAGTAGGTGGGCGGGGTTTTCCTCAGATGAGTCTGGGAGGGAGGAAGGACAAGCAAACCACTGTTAGACTGGCCCGGCTGCTCAGGAGCCCAGGGAAGGCAGCTGTCCTGTCAGGGCTGCTCTGCCTCGGCTCCACCTGTTCTCCCAATAACCTCATTCGCTTTGATTTTCAACACCCACTGACACAGGTGAATGTCGTACTGAAAATCACACCTGCTATGACAAGCTCTTGAAAATAATCAGGACTGGGCGGTAAGAAGGTTGCTTCCCATTCACCAAACCCCCGGAGGGGTGGGAGCAGGTATTTATGGGACAGACGTGTTGGAGGGAAGGTCTGTGGTGCCTGCCTGCCCTGAGCGTCACCCCCGTGTGCCCCTGAGTAAGGGGAAACCACTCCTGATGAGTCAGAGCGAAGGGGTGGCTTTGTTTACAAAGCGAGTCAGACTCAGGGAAACAGGGCCAAATTAAGTCCTTCAGAGGCACGGTGTTCTGAAAAGATTATAGTTCCCTTCCACGGTGTGTGTCGCAAAATAAAGACATCGCTGAATTATAAAATCAGCAAAAAGAAGTCCCAACAAAGTTCTGATTTTCCTGCCATGAAGCCTGTTAGTGCTTTCTGGAAAACATCAAATATAATATTACTTCAGAATAACTCTTTCGATGTCTACACTTGAGGATGCGAGAAATGCCTACTGGGTGCCTGACACAAGACAGGACCCTTCTATCCCCTCGTGACCCTGGCAAACAGCCAGCTCACTGTTGTCACCGACATGAAGCGCTCAGCAGAGGAGGTCTCTGATCCCCGGTGCTCCTGGCAGCAGGTGCAGTGAGCCTGCCTGAGTGAGCAGCAGCCACTCCCTTCGCATCTGGGATTCAGTCAAGGGCAGAGCAAAACTCAGAGAAAATAATTTCTTTCACTTTGAACTGATTCTGTCCTGAGAAACTGATTCAGCAACAAAAATAGCCAAAACTAAGACCTCCAAAACCCCGTGAAGCAGAAACAATGTGGTTTAAACCATACCAACGACCAAGGCCAACAGAGGCTGGTCAGGCAGGTCCCCTGGGGGCCACTTGCACCCTGGGCCTCGGGTCTGGGTGTTTGAACCTGCAGACACTCTCCCCCACGGGAGGCCCTCTGACCAAGCCCTGCCTGGTGGTCTGAGGGGCCCTGAGAGCAGCTGGTAGCTGGAGAGCATTTAGGTGTGAAGCTAAGCATTTCATCCAGGTCCTGGTGGTAATGACAGTTGAGCAGCTGGGCCAGGAGAGCGGGGAGCATCGGGCCATGAAGGACCAGAAGGAAGCCGGGGTTTCAGGGTCTCTGAGTTTGGAAAAGGGGGAAAGAATTCAGGGTTGGCAGAAAAGGCTCTCTAGTCAGGTGGGCAGGGCCAAGGGTGGCTGATGGGTGAGACATATCACTGTTGCCCCCCTGATTTTCATGGGGGGTTCTTCTCATGCTGACTTTTTTGCTGAATGAAACCCAAGTCCCTTCCTGTCCCCTGAAAGCTGCTCATTTGTTTCAGTTCTTCTGTTGGCCAATGGCACTCTTCTCCACTTGACACTAATCTTGTCCATCATTGCTGCCTGTGGCCTCCGCTGGGCAGCTGGAGGGAGGGATGAGCAAGTTACTCGGGTACCCAGCCTGTGGCCTCCAGCCTGGCTTAGTGCCTCTGAGTAGCTCACAACCCTGCTGTCACAGCAAAGAAATTGAAAGAGAAACGACTCATTTCATGGTTTCCTGAAGTAGCAAAGAACTGTCGGGTCAGGAGGGCTGTGCCCCTGCCTTCAGACAGATCTGAAGTCACCCTACCCACCTGCGGTCATACAATCAGCAGTTTGAAGAGATCACGTCCTGTCACATCAGGCCTGCCAGAGGCTTACCTTGGACTGCGGGCCGAGGGCGCGGATGGCCGGGACAGCGATGAGGGTGAAGCGTTCATACAGGTACTCGTTGGAGGAGCTTCCTTTCAGGAGGGCGAAAGGCATGAGGTAGAGCTCCCCCTCCAGAACCAGGACCAGCTGCCGGTGCCGGCCCACAGGGCCGCTGGAGTGCATCAGGCCCTGCAGAGGAGCACAGAGGGCTGACACGGGGCCCGGCAGGCCTGGGCTCCCACACACCGGCCAGCCCTGGGCAGGGGGCTGAAATAGGCCGGGGACCAGGCACATCTGAAGGTCCACACGGTTGCCTGGTTGATGGGTTGGGCATTGCTCACAGCAGCATCATGGGCTTCCATTCTCTATGGCTGTATTTCTTTCTAAAAGAATTGCTGATGGAGACCAAGGCTGTATGGATCTTGATAAACTAAGAAGAAACAACTGGGACACTGGTCTGGGGGCTGAGTGTGAATAAAGAGAGGGAGACTTGCCAGGACTCGGTGAACGGGGAGGAAAGGGAAAAGGCCCTGAAATGCTAGCCTGGGAGATGGGGAAACTTTTTTCTGAACTGTGTATCCCAATTTGTAGGCCTGGGTCCTCCTAGGACAGTGCCTCATAGATGCTACTGAGCTGGCACTGCCTACAGCCCTGGGCGAGGCCCTGGATGGCACCCTGTCTGGGCAGCGAGGCAGCAGGTGGGTGACAGCAGAGTGGCCTGTGGGCAGGCGGTTGCCCGGCAGAATGACAGCTGCGTTAAAGGCAGTGGGAAACTGACTGAAAGGCTGCCTGGAAACTCTCCGAATTCTGCCTCCAGCGCATGCGAGCATTGCCCTTGTACAGAAAGATTAGCTCTAATCCAATGTGAACTTGAAGAAAATAAAGTGACGTCTCTATCCAAATTCTTATCACCTGTTAGATGAAAACAGAGGGATGATACAAGGAAATGCTACTCTGCACCTCCATGTGTCAGGCTAGAAGGGCTATTTGCTGGCTTAAGTCCTGGGTTTGAAAGATAAAAGGTTCGGCATCAGCCTGCACCTGCAACTAACAGTCCCACAAATTCCAGCAAAGACGGACTCTCTGACCTCTGCAGTTTCTGTGAGGATCTTTTGAAGTAGGACAAGACAAGAAGGCCATGTGTACTACAAGCTGCCTGTGCCCCCAGGAACCATCCTTCATCACCAGCAGGCCGGGACCCTGCCTGTCACAGTGCAAGTCCAGGCAGCGAAGAGCTGGAGAGCTGGCTGGGGCCAGGCGGGACGGGAAGGGGAGAGGAGGGACGAGTGCCCAGCAGGCAGGGGCAGCAGTGCCCTGGAAGTGGCTCTGGGGGGTTATTTAGTTGTTAGTTTATGGCCTCAGCCTCTGAGATACACTGGGTTCCCACAGCCAGTTCTCCTGTCAGGTGAGCAGGTGCTGAGCTTTCTCAACAGAGGCCCCTGAGGGGGAGGGGCAGGGGAAGGGCCTCTTGCCAGTGGCCTGGGTCAGGGGTGTGCATGTGAGGCATCCAGGGGAGCCCAGACATGGTCCCTCTGTGACCTCGCAGTCCTGCACGTGGGCTACTGTCCTATAGCTTTGGTTTTTAAGGCTCTACCTACAGGGAACCGGGAACCGAAATGAATGGAAATAATGATAAGGATGGCAAAGACTAAAATGTCCTAACTCCCCAAATGGACCCTTTAAGGGGTGATCTGACCAAACCCTTAGGGTTTTCCAGTTCTAAGTCTGATTCCTTGACTAACGCAGCTTCTGGCTTTGGACGAAGTGCCATCTGCAAACTGAGGGGTGACTTATGACTGGACATAAATAGGGTCCCAGGCCCTTTCATGCTAAACACTGCAACTTTTTTTGTGGTGCATTTTCTCCCTTGGGATCGCAGGATTTGACTTAATGATTGGCAATGGCTCGTGTGCCATCACATGTAACTGGCCATCCTCAGAGCCTGGACATGCTCACCCATCCTGACAGCCAAGTGCTGGTGGTTCCAGGAAAGAGCCCTGTGGCATTTCCCTCCCGCCAGATCATACTCTGTTCCACATTCCTGCTGGCTGACCTAGTCCCTTAGCAACGGGACCTGGGCTAAACAGAGGCAGTTGTTCAAATAATTACAAGCCCCACGAGAAGAGGCTAATCGTTTTAGTCTTGAAGTGTCAGTGATTCATAAGCGTGGGCTTGCAATGAAAACGTGGAGGAGTGGCTCTGGCAGCGGTGTCGCGTCGCCCTCTAGTGGCCTCAGAGCAGCAGGTGTGCCTGCTGTGGGAGCGGGAGGAGCCAGGCCTCCTCTCCAGGGGCAGCGCTGAGGAGGAGCTAAGGGCCCTCCCCAGGCTCCCCTGTGGCCCTGAGGCCTCTGACTCTGGCCCACCCGCCCCACCTGACCAGCCTCAACATCAGACATGGAACCGTGTGAATAAACAACGGGGGGGCAGTGGGGATGGGAAGAACTCCTGGTTAGAGCCCAACCTCTCAGCTAAGCGTTTTTCGTGAAACTTCGTAGCCACTGCACAGCCCTTGCTCTGGTCACTTACGACAACGGCCTCTGGAAGGTATCACTGGAAGCAGACAAACCCCTTCCGTGTTCAAACACTTCCATCACAAGAAACAGCTGTAAATAGCAGAAACTAAGGGTATGCTCTGAACTCAGTGCCTCTCTTCAAGATTATTGGAGGCCCTAGGACACTGTCACTTGTGTCCGGGGCGGGGCCTCCCCTTCTTTCCTTAACTTATGAAGATGATCCCAGTCATTGTTCTAACTTGCTTAAGGCTTAAACCCTTGATCATGCCAGGCTAGTTAGGAGCAGAGCTAGGATCTGAGCCTGGATCTGCGGAGGCAGAAGTAGCTAAGTTCCAAAGGCTGGCAGAGAAGCTGGCAGAGAAGGCTGGCATTCTGGGAAACCTCCACGTGGGCGCTGCAGTGAATGATGCACCCTGACGCCGAGAAGCCCCGCGGCCCCGGGGGCTCTTACCCCTTCCATGGGCGCAATGAGCAGGTCGTACAGAGCGCGGAGCGGGGGCCGGGCGAAGGAGCTCTGCCTCCGGGGGAGAGAGGAGGTCCCGTCCTTGGTGGGCGACATCGTGTTGCTGGCCAAGCTCGTCATGCTCTGGCAGCTCCTAGAGAGAAGGGCCAGGGATCAGGCAGGGCCTTGCCACTCCCCACCCGGGGCTCCAGCTCCTGGGAAGTGGACACTGCCCACGGCCAGAGCTAACACCCGGCCAGCTCGCTCGCTCTCTCTCTCTCTCTCTCTCTCACACACACACACACACACACACACACACACACACACACCAGCTTGGCCCCTTCTCCTCCCTTTCAGGTAACAGAACAGTGAGCACTGACAGGAACAGGGGAAGCCAGCTGCACTCAACAACTCACATTTCTGGGGAGTTTTCCTGCATAACCCGATGTCCCAGAGTGCTGGTCAGAGGGGATGATTACATCCTTGCGTAGCGGGACCGTGTGCAGGCAAATGTGGGGGCTGTGAGAATCAGCAGGAGCCACCACACGAGGGGACGACAGTGTCCCAGGGCCACCCAAACTGCGGGCAGAGGCTCAGACAGCACAGGGAGCAAGTGGGCCCCAACCTCAGCCCCTGGGCAGCTACGGGACCCCAAGACGCACTGGCCCAAGGCCCCGCCCCCAGCATTGGGACTGTCTGAGGAGCACTGGCTGCAGGGCTTTGTTTTGCTTTGTTATGCATGTTCCAGTGTTTGTAGGGAGTGCTGTATTAATAAGGACACGTTTTCAATCACAAGGGCCCCAGGTTCCACACGCCCCACACACGAAGAACACATTTGTTCGTTCATTTAAAACTGCTTCCTGAGCGCCAGCTACGTGCCAGGCACTGCAGAGGCCCTGAGGACCTGCAGAGGACATTCCCCAAGGTGAGCAGAGGAGCAGCAGGAGGGAAAACAAACCCTTTTCCAATGCGAGGACCATGCATCTCCCTGGCTCTGCCCCACAGCCTGGCTGGCATGGCCTCAGGGCAGTCCCTGGTGAGGTTTCTGCAGGTTAGTGGGCAGTCTGTGGCCTCTTAACTTTGAGGGAGACACTGGCAGGTGGGGGTTTCTGTTCAGTCCTCACACTGCTGAGCTTTGCTAAGTTCCCTGTGCTGCTGGGAGTGGCATCTCCTTGTCACCTAAGAAAACCAGAAGGCATTTCCCTCCTGGGCCAGGCCAGGCGTACAGCCGTCACATGAAAAGATTTAAGATTCCTTTCTGTTTTCCAGGTTTGGCTTCCACCCTGTCTTCCCGCCACCTGTTCCGTGTTCTCGGCAGTGTCCCCGGACCTCAACTGTAGGGTTATGAACAGTCAGGCTGAAACCCCCTCAGCCCCCTGCTCACTGCCAGGGAAGAGAGAGCCAAGGACTTGGGGGCCGAGAGCTGCTCCCTCAATCAGGAATCGTAATTACAAGCGACCGAGGACACGCCTGTCTCTGCCATCAGAGCCAGGGAAGCTCGATAGCCTGGAGTGAGACTCGGAGGCTGGCTGGATCCACAGCATGGGAGAGAGCAGCTCCCCTGGAGGAGGAGCGGCAGGCGGCTCTGCAGGGGGGAGGTTGGCGGGGACACGCACTGTCTGTGTGATGCGCTCTTGGTGGACGGGACTCAGCCTAGAGCCCGCGCTGACATGGGGACCGCACAGTGGGCAGTAGCAGGGTCACCCAGTGCCCTCCTTTGTGCGCTTTTCATGTCATGCCCTAGATGTGTGTCCGCTTGGACTCCTGGACCTGAGTCTGGTTACTCAGCCTAAGACATCCATGTCCCTGAGCAACCGCTGTGGCCAGAGGTCCTCATGGGGACAGATGGGGTTGCTCCATAAACCCCAGGCTCTGAACTAAAAAGCTGGAGGAAGAGACCACAGCCCTACAGTACGTCCCGTCTCCCCCCAACCCCATGCCCCTTCCACTCAGCTCCTCTGGGAACGAGTCCAAGCTGGGCGGGGGACACAGGGCACGACTTGCTCCAAAATATCAGAACCACAGGCCTGACCCACCGGGCCCCTTCCTGGGGCAAGTCATTTACCCTCTGGGCCTCGCTGCCTCTGCTGGAAAGAGAAATGCAGCCACAGGCAGAGTGTCAGGATGAGAGAGAGACTGCAAAGTGGCCAGAACGCAAAAGGAGGTGGGATTTTAGCTGATGGGGGTGAGGAGGACAGGCCTAGTGAGAGGGCAGAGAAGGGCTGGATGGCCGTGGTGTCTTTATTGAAGAAGTGCCAGAAGCATCTAAAAGGGCCCCACCTCACTAACCCTCCACCCGCAGTGCTCCTCTTAGTGGCAGGCACCGAGCCCTAGAGATGTCCTTTTCAGTGTAAACAAAACCCCAGAAAATTCTCAGCTGCTGGTTAAAAACAATAAATAAGCAAAAACAGCCAACCAATCTGAAGCAGTAATTTAGGTCAAAGACTTTCATCAGGACTCTGCCCCCTGAGCTGGAGGCATCTGTTCTGAGCAGCCCCAGCCTCAGGCAGCGGCTCCCTGCCCACTGCCCGGCTGCAGCCCCTACCTTTGCTGCAGGCTTGGCAGGAACTGCCTGCCTTTCTCCGCAGGGCAGCCCCCACTTCCTCTGCCTTGACAGCAGCAGCAGGTGGGTGTGCAGTGGAGAGCTGTCCCAGGACCACAGACTCGGGGGGCTGCAAGCTGTGGGAGCAGGAACCAATGCCAAGAGCAACAGAGGGCTCCTGGGCCCCCGAATCCTGAGGTGCAGGTGTGGGGAGGGTCTCGGGCCAGGAGCAGGACTTCCCTGCACTGGCCATGTGGCCGGCGGCCCGTGTCCTCACCTCCTGAGCATTAGATGCCACAGCCATTGCCAGACTACGTCCAAGAGCCCTTTCACGTGCCGTTCCTGCACTGACGGGGACCTGTGGTGCGGGCACGTCTGCCTAGAGATCTGCCTGAAGACATGCGATAATCCAGAGCAGCCCCGCTGTCTGAGCCTGCAGATCTTACAGACACACGGGACTCACTGGCGTGTGGCTCCAGCGAGGCTTGTCCCTGTTCTACCCCTTTTCCTGCTTATAAAATGGGCTGGACTAAAGTTCTTGTCGATTTCTTCTAGTTTTTTTTTTTTTTAATATATTTTATTGATTTTGTACAGAGAGGAAGGGAAAGAGAGAGTTAGAAACATCGAGAGTCATCGATCACCTGCCTCTTGCACACCCCCTACTGAGGATGTGCCTGCAACCAAAGTACATGCCCTTGACTGGAATCGAACCCGGGACCTTTCAGTCCCCAAGCCGACGCTCTATCCATTGAGCCAAACCGGTTTCGGCTCTTCTAGTTTTAAAAAACAAAAAATTTACTCAACTTAGGAAGCTATCAAACTTGGTGACTCTTTTAACCCCCCTGCTGGCCGACAGGCCACTGCCACAGCCCAAAGCCCTGCAGCCTCCTGTGCCCACTCGTGTGAGCATCTTTCAAGAGCCACACTCTGCCCAAGACGGCCGACAGCTGCTACCGCCCGGGGACAGATCTCGGCGACAGCTGCAGGGCAGTGGTCCTCGGAGCTCTAAGCCTCTGGCTGGCCGTGGCGTGGACACCCTGCTCCCTGCTGGCCTTGCAAGCACATCTGGCTCGGTCCCCCGTGGAAGACAGCCGTGGGTATTGTGCTGACTTCCACAGGGCTTCCAGCCTGGCTGGCTGCTCTCCGCTCAGCTCCCGGACTCAGAGGAGAGAAGGGTGCTTCTACTTCTCACCCGGGAGCCTGGGTGGTTGGAAACGCTCCCACCTGGCCGGAGTGTGAGGCATGGAGGGACTGTGCTCCCATTTAGGCACCAGCTCAGCCTGTAACACCCATGTCCCCGGCTCAGGGCCTACGAAGCAGGGCTGCTTCCCCTTTAAGTTTAAGGAACTGAGGTGCAGAGAGGGCAAGAGACGTGGACAAGGCCACGGATCATGCCTCCCTCCTGACAGGGGAGCGACTGTCACTGAGCCTTGTCAACCTTAGACACTGAGCAACCTGCCGGCCCGCACCGGCCTCCGACCCCTGGTCTCCTGGCTGCTGAGTGGGTGGAGCTGACAGGCTCCTCTGCCCGGTGGTGTGCTGAGTGGAGGCCGCTCCGATTCACAACTGCACCGCCGCACGGCTCCAGCAGGTGGCACTGGCTCGCTTTCCTGCAGGCCTGCCCATTCCCTGCCAGGGACTCTGTCCTAATTGACAGCCTAGCTCTTAGCACTTTCTCACACCACATTGTCTTCATTGACTCATTCCTCAGATGATGTTTATTAATCTACTTCTGGAGAAACATTCGTTTTCTCCCCTGCATGGCCATCTGTGCGGGATGGGAAAGGAGAGGGAGCGGGCGGTCCCCATGCGTGCAGATGCAGCGCTCGGAGATGATATGTGGAGCGCTATGTGCAGGGCAGGGCATCGGGGTGCAGTTGGTGTCTCTGGGATGATGACAAACACCAGGCGGCCGGGCAGCACTCCCTGCTCATGAATCTTTCAGGGATGAAGAGCTCCATTTCCCGGGCGGGGATTTATAGCTGGGCTGGGCCCGCAGAAACCCTGTGTGCTGGCCTCACACACACATGCTAGTGCCGCCCGCATGCAACCATGTCGGGGACGGGTGCCTGCCAGGTGTGACAGCCCGTGGAGGGGACGCCATGGGCGCCTGCGGAACCCGGGCTGGCAGTCTCAGAACTGCGGTGTCTGGGCTCCGGGAGGGGAGGCCTGGGTGCCTGCTGGGAGACATGGCCGAAGGGAGCTCGGGGGCTCGTCCTCCTGGAGCTTAGACCTCCTGAGGATGACCTTAACACTGGAACGCGGTGGGAGAGCCAAGGCCACACCAGTGTCTTCTTTCCCACCTCTTTCCAGGTCCTGTCCTCCTGACCTCAATTCCCCTCCAGGCACACGGGTCCCGTCTGGACACCGGGCTGTAGAATAAGCCGAGCCAGGACCCTCACCAAGGCACATCTGGCTGTGACATCTTTCGGACTACCGTAAGGGAGGGGACAAAAGGGGACTCGGCATGGGGATCTGGTGTGGGCCAGGTCAGGGCTGTGACGTGTGTGCCACCAGGTTCCCAGCCCCCCCGCTGTGACCGGTGAGAGCATCTCACCTAAGGCACGAGGTCAGGCAGGGCCCTGCTCTCTGGGGAGCCCGGAGCCTACAGCTGCTGTGACCTCTGCTCCCTGTCCCCCAGGGTGACAGACACTGCCAGGAGCACCGTGTCCAGGGCTGGGCAGGGGCAGGAAGGAAGCAGGAGGCTGCTCCTGGTGGCGGTGAGCTTATTGTAAGTGTGGCTGCCTTGGCTGGGCACCGTTTCCTCTGCTCAGGCGCAGGGCTCCTCACTTCTCAGGACGCCTTTGTCACACATGTCCACTTCCAAATGGTCAGCGGTCCCTGAGGAGGACAGCGACTGGACCCACCTCTGTGGCTGCTGTTGCAGGGAGGGCCCCTGCCCAGAATCGCCAGCATGAGGGCTGGCCCGGTCAGGGCTGGAGAGGACACTCCACCCTCTTGGGCTGACAGAAAAGCAGACAGAACCTTGGCCTGGAGCCTCAGGGCCACCAACAGAGCAGAGGACGGGCCTGGCAGGACACCAGCCAGAAATGAATACGGAATCTCAAGACTCAAGCCAGGGCTTGCGGCTGTAACTGATATCCAATCGGATCATCGGCCTGCATTTATTCAAAGGCTTTCTGGTATCTGGCAGCCAGAGAGAGGTTGTAAGGGGAGGAAGCATCAAGCTATTCAGTCAGGTTTGGGGGTAAAGATTTGATTCAAAAAGTGGTTGAATCACTGACTTTGGTGCCATCAAAACCTCAGACCCACGCGGGGAGAGAAGAAACCCCTTACTACACAGCAGGGCCTGTCTATCCATCACATTCACTGCGTCCTCATAACAACTCACCCACAGGCATCTCTACCCCCATTTTCCAGATGAAAAAATTAAAGGACCAAGGTTACCCACTAATAAAAGGGAGAGCCACGTTTCAAATCCAGGTCTGTCTGGCCCCGGAGCCCACGGTTTCTCCCCTCCACTCTGCCTCCCCCAGAAAAATGCCCCGACCTCGGACTACAGGATACACACAGCACCATCGGCCCAGGCCTCCTGGCCCACAGTGGTCCTGGGTGGCATTGCATAGCTGCTTCAGTGTGGCCCTGGAGGCAGGCGCCACACACACACACACACACACCCTCAGCACTGCTGTCAGATGTGCAGAGAGGAGAGAGACGGGCCTTTCTGAGGGCTGCTGCTCTGCTGTGGGGCCCAGCCAGTTGCTAAACAAGAGAAGAAGCCTCGTTTTTCCTCACTAATGGTACCTGCCCTGGGCTCGACATGCACGTGTGTTTTCTGCCCAAGTGCACAGACAAGAAGAAAAATAGTAGTTGCCGAGACTCAAAAGCAAAGGCGGAACAAAGACCACGTCTACAGCGGCGAGAGGGAGATCTGAGGCCAGGGCTCAGCTGACTCCATCGCTCGGAGCAGAGAAGCGGTGCTGGCTGTGGAGACAGCCCGACCGCCTCGCACCCAGCCCTGCAGACTCACTTCAGGCCGCGCTGTCCTCACCACCGGGACGTGACCCCTGACACCGGGAGGTCACGTTGCCTCTGCAGCCGCAGGGCCGGGCAGGAGCCCCGCGGCCGGAGGAGCAGCGCCGGGGGCCCTGGCCCCGCACCGCCAGGCCCCGCTCACCTGTTGAAGAGGTTGTTGCGGCGAACCATCCGCAGGAAGCCGGTGGGGTCCGTCACCGAGTTGAGCTTGTTGTTCATCTCTTCGAACTGCTGGTCCATGAGGTCCCCCGCCTCACTCTCGGTCTCGCTGCTGGCACAGGCCCTGCGGGCAGAGCAGAGAAAGCCCGTCAGGGGGGACGCCCTGAGCCCCAAGTCTACGACGGGCCCGGTGCCACCCCCCAGGGCCCCACCCAGCAGGTCCCCGGTGCGGAGTGTCCCTGAGGCCCGGTCACTGCGCCTCCTGGGCCTCCAGCTCCTTCCCTCCCGTCCGCTGCTCCCCGAGGTGCTCCGGGTGCTCTGGCTGTCAGCCCCCCCGGGCCAGGAGCTCCCACAGGCAGTGCCGTGCGGAGCCAGCACTGCCCTCCCTGGGTCAGGTGTGCGCCAGACACAGTGGGTGACTGTCTGCAAAGGAGCCGCCACCCGCCTTGTCTGCGGGAGCTGGCGGGTCCTCTTCCGAGAGGAAGCTCAGGGGAATGGCCAGCACCCACTCCGGCCCACTCCGGCCCACTCCAGCCCGCAGGAGTAGCTGAGCACCGGCCAGGCTCCGGCACCGCGCTGGGCCCAGGGGGACAGCCGAAAGGGCACTGCCCAGGCGCAGAGCCAGACTGCACCCAGGGCTGCTATGAGCCAAGGTGTGGACATGAGACCGTCTGACCGTGTGGGGACTATCAGAGGCAAGAGGATGGCCTAGTAGAGCGGGAGCAGAGGGTAAGGGTGGGAGAGAGACCATGGTAGAGGGACGGCCTTGAACTTGGAAGGTGTTGAGAGCTGTCAGCCTGGCTCAGGGCTGCTCTTCGGGAAACAGTCAACTGGACCCGAGAGGAGAGCGCCACTCACACGGACGGGGAGGAGACCGGCTGTTACAGCACCTGCGCAGAAGCAGCCCGAAGCCCCAGGCCAAGCCCAACGAAGCCTAATTGGCCCCTCACACCTGCTAGAGCCCCTTTCTCGGGAGTTAGCATAGTTAATACATTAATGAGCTTGGGCCGCACTCAGCATGCCAGGTGAGGCGAGTTTCCCATATGCCCCGGCTCTGAGGTCTGGATGTGGCTCCCTCTCTCCCAAGCTCCCATCTCCCAGCCCAGCTCTAACCCACCTTCCTGACTTCTCTCGTCACCCCCAATGGCCCGATAGTGTGACTTAGGAGTCGGGGGAAGGCTGAGAGTGGAAAAGCGGGGACTGACAGGAGAAATATTACCCCCAAAAGAACTGAGTTGCCTGGGAAGCTCAGTGAAGGGAGAGTAAAGGACAGCTGGCAGTTAAGACATGGCAGATAGGCACCTGGTGGCAAACAGAGGAACTGAAAGAAGTTACTTTAAGCCTCTAAGCGCGTGGTAAGCTGACGGTCAGCATAGAAACTTAATACAAAATTAGGAGAATGAACTGCCACTGACCTCCTCTGAAAGAATTGCTAAAGGACGGTATTCAGAAGGAAAATGATAGCAACGAAGCTTCAACATACAGCTAGCCAACACAGGCAGGCCCCGGGGGGGAGACATGGACACACTGAGACTTCAGCGCTGCTTTCTCAGTGTCAACAGAACATGGAGATAGAAAATAGCAAAATACAGAACTGAACAAACCATCAACCACCGGATACAATGGCACTTAGAGCGCACTCCCCGAGGACCAGCAGAATACTGCCAGGACAGCCGCTCCTGAGTCACAAGCACACCTCGCAAATTTAAAGTGATTGAAATCATGGAATTAGGTTTGAAAGTAAAAAGGGAAAAACGACAGGAAAATCTCCAAACACTTGGAAACTAAATAAAATAATACACTTTTAAATAAACAGCAAAGGAAAAGCCTCAAGGGACATTAGAAAAATAATCGGAACTAAAGAAAACGGAAAAGACAATACAAAATGTGCGGGATGTAGATAAAGCCTTAGAGATCATCGATCGTGTAAAATACATTAGGAAAGAAGACACTGGAAATATTGGGGGGGGGGGGCTTCTGTAAAGTATGTGATTGGTTAACCACTATACTGTGTAACTAAAACTAATACAAAATAAGATTGGACGTAAACTATAATTAAAAATTTTAATATAATAAAAGAAAGATGATATAAATAATGTAAGCTTCTACTTGAAGAAATTAGGGGAAAAAAAGCAAAATAAACCAAAGCAAGGCAGAGGAAATAAAATAATAGAGCAGCAATAAAAAAAATTTAAAGAAAGCAAAACTGTATCTTTAAAAAAGAAAATCAATGAAACAAAAAGTTCGTTATCTGAAAAAAATTTAATAAAATTTATAAGCTTCTAGCCAGGCAGACCAAGAATAAGAGAAGGCAAAACTATCAATATCAGGAATGACCCCATAAAAATTCAGAGGATAATAAAGGAAGACCACAAACAACTCTGCAAATATTGATTCAGCACCTTAGATAAAATGGAACAATTACTAACCGCAAACCACTAACACACTTCCAAAATGAAATAGATAACGTGAGTAGTCCTATAGCTACTAAAGAACTGCATTCATAGTTGAAAACCATCCAAAGTAAACTCTTAGTCCAGATGGTTTCAATGGCAAAGTCTACCTAGCATTTATAAAATAACTGATACTGATTCCACTTTCTCTTCCAGGTACTGGAAGAAAGGACACCTTTCAACTCATTTAGGGGGCCTATTTCACCTTGATACCAAAAGCAGACAAAGATAATGTGTGTGTGTGTGGGGGGGTGAACCCTACAGACAAAGTGAAGTATTACCAGAATTCAGCAACATATACAAAGAATTATATAGCAAAATTAACTGGGATAATATTCCAGAAATGTAAAGCTTGGTCAACATTTTTTTAAAAATCAATAAATGTAATCCACCACATTAAGACTAAAGAAAAAGATACCTGTTTATATCAATTGATGCAGAAAAGCACTTGACAAAATCCAACACCGAGTCATGATAAAAGCCTGCAGGCGAGGAACGCGAGAACTCCAGCCCGTTACAGAGCAGCTGAAGCAAGTGTCCGGCTCCCCTCAAGCCGACGGGGAGCGGCCAGGAAAGCCCTCAGCTCCCACCGCTCACAGAGCACGTCCACATGGACACTGGAGGTCTCAGCCCTCTCCGTGCAAAAAGGCGAGAGAAGGCAGTTCAAGGCACACAGCTGCTCACGGAGACATGACTGAGCCGAGAAATACACAAAGCGACCGCTCGAACCATTGAGTAAGTTTCATAAAGTTGCAGGATACAAGATCAACACACACAAAAAGTCAGTAGTATTTATATAAACTAGTAACAAACAACTGCAAACTGAAATTTTAAAAGTGATCCCATTTATAGTAGCTCCCAAAATAAAATACATAAGTATAAACTGAACAAAACATGTACAAGATCTGTATGCTGAAAACTGCAAAAGGCTGGCGAAAGTAAATAAAACCTACACATAGGGAGAGATACACCACGATCGTAGACTTTTGTTGTTGTTGGGCCTCACCTGAGGATATTTTTAAGGATATATTTTTATTGACTGCAGAGAGGAAGGGAGAGGGAGAGAGTTAGAAACATCAGTGATGAGAGAGAATCACTGATCAGTGGCCTCCTGCACACCACCTACTGGGGATCGAGCCCACAACCTGGGCATGTGCTCTGACCGGGAACAGAACTGGTTCATAGGTCGACGCTCAACCACTGACCCACATGGGCCAGCCCCGAGGACATTTTTTCCTTTGATTTTTAGAGAGAGTAGAAGGGAGCAGGGGAGAGGGAGAGAGAAACATTGATGTGAGAGGAATACATCGATTGGTTGCCTCCCACATATGCCCCAGACTAGGGCCAGGGACTGAATTTGCAACCTAGGCATGTGTCCTTAACTGGAATCGAACCCGGGACCCTTTGGTGCGCACACAGGCTAATGCTCTGAATACTGAGCAGCAGTGGCCAGGGCATGATTATGGACTTAAAGTCTCAACAAAGACAGCAGTTTTTCCCAAACTGACATATCAGTTTAACATGATTCCAATAAACATCTCAAGAATCCTGTGTAGCTATAGAGAAGCTAAATCTAAAATTTATATGAAAAGCAAATAAATGAGGCCAGGTAACACAATTTAGAATAAAGTTGGAGGAATAACACCGCCAGGTTTTAAGACTTACTACACAACTACAGAAACAAAACCCATGTGGTTTAATAAAAGTATAGACATTTAGGTCAATAGAACAAAGCAGAGTACAAAAATAGACCCATTTGAAAATGGCCAATTAATTTCTGACAAAGGTGCAAAGACAATTTAATAAAGGATGGTATTTTCAATAAATAGTTTAGGAACAACAACATGTCCATATGCAAATAGATAAATAAATAAATAAATAAATAACCACCCACCAATTAACCTTGTAAAATGCACCACAGACTTAACCTCACACCTCGTAATTAACTCAAAATGAATCACAGATCCAGATCGGAAAGCGGAACACTGGAACACTTTCAGAAGGAAACACAGGAGAAACTTTCTGACCTGCGGTGGGCTTTTCTTAGACATCACACAGAAGCTTCATTCATAAGGAAATAACTGATAAAACTAACATAGAAAGTAAACACGTTTGCTCTGTGAGGGACACTGTTAAGAGAAGAAAAAAACAAGCTACAGACTGAGAACACTTGCCAACTACATAGCTGTGAAGGACTCATTATGCACAACATATGAAGCACTTTCACACTCAACATATACAACTCAATTTAAAAAGCGAGCATACGCCTTGAACAACCACTTCTCCATATAGAATATAGGATGGCAGACAAGCACATGGAAAAAAATCTTCATTGACATTAACCTTTAGTGAAATGCAAATTAAAACGTGACAAGATACCACACTATATATATATATATATATATATATATATATATATATATATATATACACACACACACCCCACACTATCTATTTGAATGGGTCCAATTTTAAAATGCTGATAATATCAGGTGCTGATGAGACAGATCAACCGGAACTGTCAGCTAGTGGTAGAGATGCAAAAAGGAATAGTTATTCTGGAAACTACTTGGCGGTTTCTTCTAAAATAACATATATACACACCACACGACCCAGCAATTGCATTCCCGAGTAAATGAGTTTATTTACCCATTTTCCCTAAATAAATGAA